GTAAGCACTACATTGTGGTATAATTTGGGGAAATTTGAAGGGGGGTTTGCTATTTTTATAAGTATCATTCTAATTGCAGTTATATCTATATGGTAGCTAACTGGAAACTGCAACTGGTATCACAAATTCGGTGACAGAGAAGAACTGAACAAATATCAAGAAATATAGAGGTGTCAAACGGGAAACGAAGTAAAATCAAATGTCGATCATAACCAACCACTTTTTTTTCCTTTCTATAGTAAAAATGCCAAAACTGATACGAAGATGGTTGGTAATGTAACTGTGAGAGCCAAACCCTCACCACGATAAGTGGAGCTACTTGTCGTTTGAGATGCCGTGCTTGTAGATGTCACTAGAGACGATTGTACCTCTGTAACATTACCATAGTATGCCTGTGATGTAACGCTTGAAGATGAAGAAGTTTCTGTAGATGTCAAAATAACGTTATCATTACGGGTTGCAAAACCAACTTCCTGCTCCTCAAGATTAAAGTCTGCATAGACTGTTTTCAAGAACACGGCCCCCAAGATCCAGGACTCCATTCCCTGGATACCTTGGATATTTGAGACACAGTATCCGTAGAAAGGTGAATCAGATGCGTAGGGATCTCCGAGGTATTCATCAGCAGTCAACGTCCAATTGTGACCATTTAACTGCAAGTTAATGTTGAGTGTGCTGTTACATAGAACTGCGAAATTTGTACCGTCAGTGATGGACAGCTCGAAGAATGTGTGTAAATCCAATGCGTCTTGTTCAGGCAAGGCCAAAACCGTGGTACCGGAATCAACTATAGCAGCACGTGCAATGGTTGATTCAACTCCGTTAATAGTATCTGATTCGTTAAACTGAACAAGTGTATCGCCAATGACCACTTGCTCGATTTGAATCTTCCAGTATGTTCCAGCGTCATTCAGCAATGAAGAATATTTGATTTCACCTGTGTACAACTCTTTGATGGGTTCACCAATGGCAAAGATCCCTGCGTTGTTAAACTCTGACGATGAATTTTCCTGTGAGATACCAACCTCGCCTAATGCGATTGAGAACCTTTTCGATGCAATGGCGTTAGAATCGTACAACGCCGAAATGATACTTTCAATGGAGGAAGAATCTGAGGATGGAAGTCCAAAGATACCGGAAACTGGATAACTTGCAAAGAAGTCTGGCACTTGATCTGCAACACCAAATCTAAACTGCTCAGTTGTTGCCAGTCTGTTAACAATGATGTTGTCCTGTACAACTTCACCAGATGCGGTACCGGTGACATATGCCAGAGCAAAGGTCTCCGTTGAAGTTGAAGCTGAAGACGCTGAAGGGGTGTACACAGAGGCCGCCTGGCATAGCTCCTGCTGACAGTCATCACCGTACACCCATAGATAAGCAGATCCAGTGTCCACAATCAAGGGGAACACAGAGGTCCCAATTGTTGTGTTTACGAAATAACATTCATGGTTCTGGTCGGTCTGTAGCAGCGATATGCCAGGAATCAAATTAAGAATTACAGGCGAAGAAGCATCCCGCTGTACTGTGTCAATAGCGTATGAATCGTCATCACTAGTGGCAATTCGTATTGTCTTTACCGATGTTGATGAAGACCCGCCGTCTTCTGTATAATCCGAGACATATTTAACAGAGCCGTCGTCTTCCTCGATGAAGCGGTTCTCCAAAGTTGGCAAGAGACCACTCACAGTGGACGCTAACACTGCCAGCAGTTTGAGTCTCATGATGAACAGGTGACGAAAGATCCAATTCGAGGTTTTGTGTGACGAGAAGGAGTGGATCGCAATGTTCAACAACAAGAACAACAACAACAACAACAACAACAACAACAACAACAACAACAACAACAACAACCAAATGTCCAAAAGAAGGCTTACACACAACTTCCAAGCCCACAAACAAAAACAAAAAAAAAGTTTATGCTCTGGGTTACCTTGCGCGGTGCGCCCAACTCTCGAGACATTTCCTAATTAGGAAATGAAAATTCTACGATCTGGACACGATTACAAGGTGGACAGGAGTGATTGTATCTGTTTTTAACTATCTTGGACAGCTATGGGTTAGCACTCTGCTGCTGCACAGTCAGTGCCTCTACAGAGCACTCAGTAACAATGGTTGACGGGAAAAACACGCTATGGAGCCAACACTTCATTGTCTAACGCTGTTTATACGCTGAATGGATACGGGGAGAAAAACGTACACGCAAGCACACAGGCAGTATGTGTTATGCACACTTTGCCTGAGAAGTTGTTTTCGAACTCACCGCCGGGCCCCCTAAACACTCAAGCCGAGAAGGTAAACAAGGGCGTGCTTCTACCACTTCGATGATAAGGGTCTGGAACGCTCTTCCACTGCCTTTTTGGCTGAGTGATGGCACTCCGCTTACATCGTGCAGTTACTAAAAAGGTCTTGTTATAAGTACCATGAAGGGGGTATGTACAATCAATATGCGTATTTGAGTGTGAGTGTTGTAACACCGGTATTATCTGTAACAGTTACTGTTCCAATTCATCCATTAGCTCAGCTGCAAGTTCATCGTCATAATCATCGTCATCGTCATCGCTGTCGTTGTCGTTCTTGTTCTCTTGTGTATCGCGGTCTCGACCAGTGACATGCTCTAGTCTGATCCTCTTGGTTCCGTCCTCCTCCTCGTCGGCTATTCCACGCTTCAACGTATGTGCCTCGTCCTCCTCGTCTTCATCGTCGTCGTCGTCGGAAAGATCTTCCTCCTCCTCATCGTCTAACCAGTTCATATCTCCACCAAGAAGGTCATCCTTGTCTTCAATATCATCCAGCGCTGGAGATTCCTCCCGAGATTTCACCTCATTCAGCCTCTCCATGTACTTCTCAACCTGGGCTGCTGGAAGCAACTTCGACTTGTCGAAATCGAGCTCATAATCTTCGGTTTTCAACCTTTTCCAATGTGACATGCAATGGAATAACCAATCAGGATGTACAATCTTTACATCTTCAATCATGGTCTTTGCTAAACATGCCTTGAAAGTATACTGGTTCTTTGCAATTACATGTGTCGTCTCTGGTCTAACCTCAGAATCAACAATGGCGCCAAAGGAACGTGCCCATTGAACGATGGACTCGTTTGAGATGTTAGATCCGAGAGGCAATAGTCCGCTAAAGACAAGACGGAATCCTTCAAATATAGGAACCTTCATCGACGGTAATATTGTTGCAACATCTGGAGTTTCACCTTGGTCAAATGAATCGTAGAAGGTCGAATGGATGCTTAAAAGGGCCTTCTCCAACCCTTTCAACTCATCATCTTCGTCATACAACAATCTCTCTGGGTGCGACTCCATCGTGTCTAAATCCTTCTGCAATTTAGCCAACGGTCTATCACGTGCCTGTTCATCCAAGCTCTCTTGGTCATCTCCGGACTCTTGCAATTTTTCCTCCAATTGTTCAATGGATTTACGCCTCTTACTTGGTCCCAGTAACGATTTCTGCCTTGGGAGGAAATTCGAGTTGATATCACCAATACCGACGAAGAAATCATACGGCACAACTTTTATTAAGTGATCACTCCAATTCCAAACATCTCCTCTATCGTCAATGATAACAACCATCGAGGTATCGGTTGGGAACAATCTTTCGAGCGATTTACTCGTTATGGACCCACTTTCATCTCTTGAAAGAATACGATCTGCAAATATCGATCCATCTGGATCTATGCATCTGGCAATTTCCTTTGCATACGCCCGTGTGCCCATGGTGTAAATGTGTAATTCGTACTTCTGTGAAACAGAGTCCAAGAATTTTTGTAGCCCGGGTCTGAGTTTGACGAAATAGGTTCTCTTGAAGATTGAATATACCGGAGTCTTGGTCTCTTCGTCTAGGGTAAAGGATTTCACGTCTTTTAATGATGGATAGTTTGGATTTTGTTCATTTCTCATCCATTCGCCAATGGTTGGGTCAACTGTGGCATGTATCACTGTTTGATCCAAATCGACAACGAGGATTAACTTCCTCTGTTTTACCAAGGACTTAGTCCACAGCTTCTCAACTTTTGTAGCTTCGTCTTTGGACACTTTGAGGTTATTTGTACCATGCGACATGGCGATCGGAGCCCTGTCTTCGTTCTTAAACCCGGAATAGTCCAAATCCTCGTCTAGTGATTTACCACAAAGTGCACATAAACCACCGTACTGGATCGAATGTGAGCACGGCTCTTCCAACTTAACAAGGGTTTGCTCATCACTAATGATCTCGTCCTGCACGTTCACACAAATCTCCTTTAGCACTCCATCAATCGGACACTCAAATGTACCAACCAAGTCAACCCTGTGCTTCTGGTAGCGAGGCTCCTCAGAATCATCCCTATCTTCGGAAATAGCAACGTCTTGGTATTCCCAGTATGAATAGTTCAGTAGCACCTGATGTCTTTTGATATCATCACCAACAGATGCCTTTATGGATAGAATCTTCACTGGGAACGGTGTAGACTTTGGGAACTGGATTGCGGTCAACGATGACATGGTGTATTCGCAACGCGGAAAAGAAATAAAGACAAAACAAAAACCAAAAAAAAGAGAGAAAAGGACACAAGAAACAAAGACAATGAAATAACTGAAATATCAATGCCTTGCAATGGTTCTCTTATGGTGCATATGCCCGTTATAACTTGAGATGCTCAATGAATAACAGTGTAATGTGAAATCTGTTTACCCGGAGTTTGTTTTTTTATGGGGGATGGTTTTTCGCTGGCTACTTGAAAATTGCAACACAAAAACGAAAACGGTCTTTCCTTCGAATTATATAAACTTTTTTGTTGTTAGAACAACGCTGCACTGTGTTTCTCCTGCAAATTTGGAAGGCGCCCAAAAGCGATCACTCGGAACCCAAAAACAGAGGGAAAACACAGAGAATAAACTTAAAAAAATAAGAGACTTAGTAGCGGCATCGCAAATTCGCAACTGGGGAAACGAACTAATGGGCGTACGCAGACCAAAAGGTAAACAAGTCGATATTCCCTTGATTAACTAAATAGAGACCAATTAAACGTCTTCGAACATTACGTCATCCTCGTCACTAGAAACCCCATCCACTTGAAGCTCTTCTCCTTGGATTGAAGGGAGCAAATCTGGACTTGTTTGTTTTATCGTATTCTCTGAGTTTTGGGTTGTTGTCTGGGCTGGTGGTTGTACCCCTGTAGTGGCTTCTTGTAATCCAAAGTCTTCGTCAATGTCAAGATCACCTTCATTTGGCAACCGAAGAGGTTCAGATAAGCTAGTATTGTTCTTAACAACCGGCTCAGATGGTTCGACAATCGGTTCCCTTCCAGCTCTTTCTATCACATTCTCACTGGTACCAACAGTATCGGCAGTATTAATAGTTCCATCCTGTTCAAATAAGTTGTTGTCTTTGAAAAGGTCATCGTCATTATCATCTTCAACCCCAAATAATTCAAGGCCATTGTCTTTATCGTCACTCTGTTGTAACAGCACTTCACTGGATTTCTTCTGCGCTTCGACCTTGGCCTTTTCTCTGAGCTCTGCTAATTCAATGGCTCTCATCTCCTTCCGGTTCTTTAATGCTTTAAAGCTTCTCAGTACCTTGTTGTACTGTTTATCAATAGCTTCAGACGCCGATAGTTCCAAGTCTTCCCCATACGGGGATTCGTTCACAGTTAATCTAATCAACGTATTCAGCGGTTTGGTCTTTTCAACTTTTTTGGAATCGAGATGATGCAGTCTCTTATTTGCATATTCTACGATATCAAAAGGTAGCTTTGCAGGTATGGTCAGTGTTTGTCCATCTCCAGAGATATCACTGACCTTATGCTCCTCGTTGATGATGGCATCATCCTCTATTTCGTTATCGTCATTGGGGGATTCGACTTTATTGCTTGATTCATCTTCCTCGTGCATTAAGCCATCCAATGCCATTTCACCCAATTCACTCTCCTCTGCCAATTTTTTCCTCACTTGAATTTGATCTGTGGTTCTCTTGGGGTAATCAGGTGTCTTCCGATAAGTGTGATCTGGAGGTAGCTGTGGAACCCAATACGGTAACCCTTTTTTCGTCGATGGATGAAGCAATTCAATTATATCACCATCATACGTGAATAATTTCGATGTGTCCTTGTCGCATTCTCCATCTTCGTCCATTCTTTCCTCTTCTGATCTTAATATCGACTTCACACTCTCAGTAGCATTTTTCGCTCTTGTCACCTCATTAGCTAGCCCATCCATAGAGCCCAAATAGTCCGTAAATTTGTAAATGCTCTTCAAATCTAGTACACTGACTCTCTTCTGACGACGCTGGATTGTTATCAACTGGCGTATATCGCTCAACATGTTGTCCATTCTGATCGAGAACGATTCAAACAACTTGAAAAGGGCAGCTTCTGAGCAATTTTCAACGCTCAAATCATCTTTCAAATGTGCAGCTAAGCATCGCACAAGGAGCACTTCCTTGGTGTCTAGCGAATCAGTCGTCATCGTCCCTCACAGATGCTTTATCAGCAGTATTTACAACTCCAATAGCTTGAAGCCTTTGAATATGCCCGCTGTTTGCACGAACGTCACACAAAAGCTTTTTGAAGCCCATGGTAAACACACTGGAAGTGGTGTGTGGATGTGTTGTGTGTCCCTAACACTAAAGACATTTCTGGAGTGTGTGTACCGGATCTCCATTGGCCATTGGCCCCTTCTCTAAATGTGGAAATTGTGGCTGTGAGTAGGCGCACTCACTACAATTTTCGGGTAAATTCTGCCCAGCCAGTGTTCTTCAATTTGGGTGAAATTGTCGCTTACTGGCAAGCGAAAATGTCCCAGATAAGTAATCAGATGCTTTCGCCGATACATTCCATTAATACCGTCGGGCTTTCCACACAGTCTACAATTTCTCATCAATATGTCAGCCATATGCAAACGAGTAAGCGAAAGTTTTTTTTTGTTTCTAGGTGGAGTACTCGTATGAGATCTTTGTATAAATATAATCGAGTTTCCACGTAGTGTTGCAGCGTCCGCATTTGAGTTCTCTAGTAGAACAAGAGATAAAGGAAACCATGGCTACAGAAGGGTTTGACTCGAATACCCATGAGATTGTATCAATCTTCATTATCTGCATGGCCCAGATTCTGAACCAGGCTGGTTCCACACAGTCGCTTCCGATGATGAACATTCTCGGTGACGAGTTCTCTGGTGTGACGCCTACGGACAAGGTGTGGTTTATGGCCTCTTTCCCTTTGACTGCTGGTGCCTTCATCCTCATCTCTGGAAAATTTGGGGATCTTTATGGATTGAAGAGATCAATGCTCTTTGGACTCGTCTGGGGTATGATTTGGACTCTAATTACAGGATTGACCTCGTACACCAACTCAGTGGTGTTCTTCTGTATTTGTCGTGCTCTACACGGGATCGGGTTGGCCTTTGTACTTCCAAATGCCATTGGAATCATCGGCACGCTATATCAAAATGGCTCGAAGAAGAAATCTGCTGTGTTCTGTTTAGTGGGTGCCATGGCACCTATTGGTGCCGCATTGGGTTCGATCTTTAGCGCTGTCATCTCTGAAAAGGGTCACTGGCCATGGGCTTATTATTCAAACTCGATATGTTTCGCCATTTTGGCTGTTGCAACGTACATCTACATCCCAAATATACCAAGACATGCGGCACCAGAGGTGACATTTGACTGGCTTGGCTCAATAACTGGTGTAACTGGTCTAGTTCTGTTCAACTTTAGCTGGAACCAAGCCCCTGCTGTTGGTTGGGATAACCCATACATCATCGTCTTACTCATAGTAGGGTTCCTCTCAATATTGGCGTTCTTCCAGATTGAAAAAAGGGTCAAGTATCCACTCATTCCAAAAGAAATCATGAACTCCCATATACTGTTGATTCTGTCTGCAGTGGGATTCGGCTGGGGAAGTTTCTCGATATATGTCTTCTACTTCTGGTGCCTCTTGATGAATATCAACGGTTGGTCGCCAATTCACACCGGCTTCACTTATTTCACATTCGCCCTGTTTGGAGTGATTGCTGCATTTTCTGTCAATGTCTTCATAAGAAGAGTACGCCCTTCCTATCTCTTATTAGCTGCTACATGTGCTTTCCTGATTGGAATCACGATGCTTTCGCAAACACCTCCCCATCAAATGTATTGGCATATGTTGTTCCCACAAATGGTTATACTGAGCTTTGGTATGGATATCTCATTCCCAGCAGCGTCATTGGTGTTATCAGAACACTTACCGAAAAAACATCAAGGTATGGCATCTTCCCTTGTTTCTACAATGATTAACTACTCAATGTCGATTACTTTAGGTTTCGCTGGAACAGCAGAGGCACAGATACTGAAAAGGAACACAAGTACATACAAGGGATATCAAGCAGCCATGTACGTAGGCGTAGGACTTGCCGTCTTGGGATGCATCCTGGCATTGGTTCTTCACACTTGTTCTTACATATGGCCACACCAAGAGGAGGTTGATTTGCAAATTCACAAGTTCGAGGATGATTCTGACGTCCTAGAGAATTCCGAACCGGTGTTGCACCCCAGTCGAGGTGGTGATAATTCGACAGCTAAGGTTTAGGGTATTAGTTAACGAACAACACTTATTATAACACTAATATTGCATTATTTGAAACTTGTCTTACGATATGTTGTAGCCATGAGATCAAATCCCATTCAAAAGATTCTCTATAGCGCCTTGTACACTTCCTCCAGCTCTTCTCAAAGCTGCAACGTTTCTCTCAAAGTCGTTGAAGCCCATATCATTCAACTGTCTCAACTGAGATTCGTATCTCTCTTCTGGTGGTCTATTGTCTTCTTGTGCTGGTGCATTTCCACCGTTTCCACCAAGAGATGCCATCAATGCCTGCATTAAACCAGCATCATTGGCACCCCCTAGGTTAGCACCAGCAGCACCAGTGTTGGCCTGTGGATTGCCATATAGTGCAAATGGGTTCTGTGGTAAACCTCCTGGGAACATAGCAGCGAATGGGTTCGCTGCTTGTTGCTGTTGAGTATTAGTGGATCTAGTCGCATCCGGTGTTGCGGTATCCTCAGTGGTTGAAGCATTAGAATCAGCACCACCTGGGGCAGGGAAAGCCTGTGGTTGGGATTGAGGACCACCAAACATCTCTTGCATTTGTCTCATTTGTCTCATCATCTGAGGATTGGTGATCATACTTCTGAACTGTTCACTTTGGAGCAACTCTCTCGCCTGGGGACCGAGGGCACGCATACCTGGCGATTGGTTGATCAAAAAATCAACCATCTGTGGATTGGATAGCATCTCATTCATGCTCTGTTGAACCATCGGGTTTGAGAGCATACGTTCCATCTCCTCCGGATCTGGCATCGTCATGCCGCTATCAGGGCCAAACATAGAGGCAGAAGGAAGCTGGGCATAACCTGCATATCTTGCGCCAGTCAAGTCGGCCAATGGGTTGAAACTTCCAGTTCCAGTCGCAATATTAGAAGGAACAGCGTTGGCAGCAGCGGTAGATGGTGTCGCGTTGCTTGTGTCTGTGGTTGATGCTGCTGGTGTTGGAGCAGCGGCAGCAGACTTGTTGACGCTCTTAACCAAATGAACAGTGTGACCATCTTTAATCTTGTAGAACTCAATGGTCTCATTATCCTTGAGAACCCTACCAGAGTAGATCAAGCGCTGTGATGAAACTGGCAAATCATCCTCGCTTTGCTCAGAGATTTTGGTCTTTAGCTCTTCAACGGTGGCGTCCGTTGCGATGGAAACTTCCAACTTCTTACCAGTAGAAGACCTTCATCTGTTAGTCGGGCCTCATAAAGCATATACTTGTATAGGAGCTCGGTCACCACTTACTTGATGAGAATAGTAATTGTCTCGGTCATTTGTTCTTGCGTGTATCGTTGCGCGGTGTTATCTCAAACGTTGATAAGTAATCTCTTTGTGCAACGTTGGCCCGATGAAGATTGTTGTTTTCCCTTTTCATCAAAATTGGGTCTGGCACGATAAGCCTGGAAAAAAAAGTTGGCGGTGTTTGGATGTGTCAACTACCAAAGCCTACATCAAAGATGGTGGTGCCGAAGCAGTTAATTTGATCTCATTGAACCATTACGGGTACTCTGAGTAAGATACCATTTGGCTGCGATACTCCTCTATAAGATGATGTATCCTTCTCAGCTACTGTCTTTTTCGAATTGAACATGACTGTGCCAAATGGCCATCTCTTCTTTTTCGTAGTGGTTTCCTCGGGTGACGATGGTAGAGTATTGAAACCAACTCGGATCTCAGCGTTAAGGATGTTCTGCAAATGACAGCTATGGAAGGTTGGAGAGCATGACTTGAAATTGTCCATCGGGATCGATACCTCCACATTTTGGATATATTGTCCCTGATGGAAGTAAGAAGGAGTCCAAGTACCACTGACCGATGCTTCTGATGCACAATAGATTGTATCAACTTTTTGAACAAGCACGTCGTCTTGGTTGCCTTCGTCCCCTATAACAATTGGTGGGTTGCACTTGGCTGTCTGAACTGCGTACTGGTTCGGCTCAAAGGATAGGCGTACTTGAGGGAACTCGCTAGTATCTGCTGCTGGCTCATAAGTTATCTCGATCGGCACCTTCAACGGACTCTCCGAACGTAAATCTGTAGAGATTGTTGGTGATTCAACAGAGACTTTTCCGATTACAGCATCATGACACTTAATGGTCGTACCCTTATTGATTGTCGGACACTCGGGAGTCATATGATTTGACGTTTTCACTTTAACCTCCATTGATCTCGTAAAAACGATGTATGGTCGTCCTAGACCTTTAACATTCTGTTTAACTTTAACACTGATGTAATACGTGTTACAGAACTTGTTCTGTGAAACTTTTTTCAACTTTTGTAATGTCTGTTGTACGTCTGTAGGTACAAGCCCAGCTACTGAACGAGGCGCAAATGCAATTCCGCATAGAGACGGTAATCCATATGACGGTAACAGTTGCCTATGCTCAGGAAGTCCGTTAACACAAGTGTCCTCAAGGTGTTTCACTGGCAGTGTGAATTCGAATGGGAATTCACAATTGGAGAATGCGTACTTGTCAGGATCATGGCACATTGGCGGGAAACTAGAAACGTTTGGGTTATCTTCCATCTGAAAGAAAGATGCATCCTGCCCATTAGAAGTGACGAATCTGTTCACCAGAGTAATCTCTAAGTCGTTGAAGTAGACATCATGAATAGGTTTGTCTCCAAGTTGGACCATTTTGAATACACCCTGGACTGTTTCTCCAGGAGTGTAGACATGATCTGGAGGCAATGCTGTTTGAATCTCTATCTGGATATTCTTCAAAGTTTCCTTTGAAGGTTTCCTGATGGACTCAGATTCTAGTCTTGCGGCATTAAACGTTGGTATAAGTGAGCCTAAATCCATGAGTTAATAGCTCGGATCTTGGTAATAGAGAGTGAAGTAGAGAAAACTGATCAAAATAAAATGTTGGCTCGGAGGTTGATTTCTCGGACTGGGAAGCTGGCAAAAAAATATATGCAGCTGGTGGGAACTTTATATGGGTAACAATGCATGCCTGCAGCGTACACTTTCGGTATGACTCTTAAACGGTGACATTGCTCAGAAACATTGAAGATCATCTAGTTTGATGACAAATATAACAAAACACACATCATTTTATCTATCTTGACATCACATTGCCGATCACGGCTCTCTCTGATTTGTACCACTACAAGGACTTGTTCTAGAACGACACAATTTGGTAAAGCTAATTGGTGATTATATTAGTACACAGATGACTGTGATCTGTTTCTATTTAACAGCATCCGAGAAATATCACATCATTTCGCATCTCGTGGATACCTCGAATACACCAACTCAGCATCTGCATCCAAGTTGTTGAAGAACATCTTTTTAAAATCCATGCGTTCTGAAATTTGCGATGGAGTGCGTTGTGTAACACTACGCAACTGCGTTTGGTAGTGCTGTTGTTGTGGTTGTTGTAGTTGTTGTAGTTGCTGTTGTTGCTGCTGTTGCTGCTGTTGTTGTGGTAGAGATGAATGCAACTGTTGCGCGTTCAAGGGCGGTAACTGTGATGACCGTAACGATATCACAACATCATTATCTGCGAAAGTACTCAAAGTCGCGGCCATCATTGGTACAGAGTCTCCCTGTGAGGGCGATGCAACAGATGGGTTCGATGTGGATTGGCGGTTATTTGTATTGATGTCGTTGCTGTCGTGATGGTTATAATGACTTTGTCTCTGGCTTGGGTATATCGTTGATGAATTCGTCATGGAAATATCGTGCCCTGTGCCATGTTGCTGTGCATTCTGCAAATCAACACTCAAATTCTTCACAGTTGACGGTGAAATCTTTGAACCATCTGAGGACCCGGAAACCTTGTGAATCTTCTTTCTCCCACTTCCAGGCTTACGACCTTGTGCTAGGGTCTTTCCTTTTCCAGGTTTTCGACCACTCCCAGGTTTTCTGCCTTGTGCTAATGTCTTTGCCATTGAAGTGAATGTTTTTGATGCCTTGATTTTTTTTTCTTTCGTTTCGTGGATGTGCTAAACTTGAGAGAGAAAGATGAAAACAAGAGCACAGATAAACAGAGGACGTTTGAATCTAACGTCGGAACTTCTGAGTTATGCTAGATTTGATGAATGGTGTAGTGACTACAAGGATCTATACCACTTCGTTTGGTTGCTGATTTGATCTTGAAAAGAAACTTCTTTACTAGATGATGATGATAGTTCTTTTTTTCCTGCCTTTAGTGATTGTGTTCTGTTTTTTTTTTTTGCGTTGGAGGTAGATGTTCCGCTTTTAGAAATACCCCTAATACAGTAACTACCAAATCGGGATATTATTGTAGGTTTTTCTTTGCTTCCCGAAATGTGCAACGCGCTTTCCTGCGACTGCTTAAATCCGACCCCGTGCGTTGAGCTCTGCGCCATGCATACGAATTGAGTCATTGGTCCGTCTGCGAAAACAATAGATTTTTCTGAGCCTCCACCTAAACCCCCTCGATCTGGAAGCAGCCTCATGATCCTGTCCGGGTGCTCAAATTTAATTAGCGTCTATAACCGAAAGATTATTCTGGAATCAATGGTTTCTCTTTTCTGGTTGACTCCCTTCATAGCACAGAGTTGTTAGAAAAACATATGAGTCATAAAATATGGTACCTCTACATAGAACGCAGATCAATTCAATCCATTTTCTGATGAGGCGTTGACTTCCGTCGTGTCTCGTTAACTATCCAATCCCTACAACCCTACAATGTACACTTTGTATTCGGTCAGTTGTTATAGACACATAACATAAACTTCGTAAACCGAGTCTTGGAATCAACACATGGTCCACGTGCAAACAGTGAACATTTGAAAGACTCTCTGCTCGCATTGTTGGGGACAGTTTTTTCACTGCACATGACTCTGGCTTTCTCGTCATCTCTTCCCGTATATTGATTGAAGAAAATTTAATGTTGAAGATTTCGATGATCCTTACTGTTAACGGTGCAAATGGTGCATACGGGCACGAAATGTATCGGTGCAATAGACTTTTTTGGTGGCGGATGCTTGGTTCTGCACTATAATTTTTTCCTCATGGCTGTGTGTGTGTCATCCTCTGAGACTTCAAAGGCACCCTCACAACATATATAAGCCCCTCCATAGTACCATCGTTGTAACAAGCAGTTCTGAACTCAATTGCAAGTGCTTGTTCTATCTTTCTAAGTTGTGTAGCGGTGTTTTTGAGAGGGTAAGAACATTTTTTTACAATGGAGATCCAAAATGAAGAGGATCATGACCATGTCGACTATTCACAGGCCCAGCGGCATGAGCTCACCAGACAAAACGTCTCTCAGGAGGTGTTACAAACTGCAAAGTTCTATTCGAGGGATAAAGTCCGTACAGGGTTCATAACAGATGAGGAGTACCAAGACGTCAAGGGTAAAGACATCGTGTTTGACGTGTTGCCCTCATTTGAGATGTATCAGAGTGTTCAGAACAGATCGCAGGACCCACCAATGGGACCAAGTCCTGACTATTTCGGTTACCCAAGTGAACCACCCCGTATTGATACCACCGCTAACGATACCGTTGGTGATGCCGCCAGGTTGGTGCAATCACCATCTGAATCTGTTAGCGCTGCGTCTTCAGCGTCTAGAAATTCGATGTCTTCTTACTCGACTCAGTCCTCCAGCCTGGAACATTATGGTCCTCTGTCACTTGAGAATAACGTTTTGGACAACGCTCACAAGTTACCAACGATGCAGGTTCATCCAGGTGTTACTGTGGACATCTACGTTACCAAAAATGTTCCGGTGCCTCATGAGAAGTCCGAGAATGAAAGCATGCTCAAAGAATACACCTCTGGTGATGGTGTTTATGGCTATGTCGTGATTTCCAACATGTCAAACGATCCCGTATCATTTCGTATGTTCACAGTAACGCTGGAAGGTATCACGTCCATAGTCGATGCCGAGTCAAAGAAAATCTATAACAAGAGGTTCTTGAACATGGTTGATATGAATGCGTCCTGGACATTCGCTTGCATCTCACCATCCACCAATGTTCAGTATACACCAGGTGTTAAAGATGCAGCTGATGGCTGTATATTGGGATTCAACAAGGACAGAATCTTGGAACCTCACACAAAGTACAAGAAGTTCTTTTATTTCAAAGTCCCGTATACTCTTTTGGATAACACATGTCGTCATCAGCAAGAGTTGCACACACTCTTGCCACCTAGCTTGGGCATTGACAGATACAATAAAAAGAACAAGCATGCAAATATAACCTTAAACCCAGCTTTGCACTATGGCCACAATGGAACAAGAGGTTCCCCAGTCTTGACAAAAGATCTTTCCAATGGTAACCTCAGTGTGAGTTATAGAATAAACGCAACTCTAATAGGCTGTCATCCAACATTAAAGGACATATATGGCCAACCGGAGTATGCAGTGATGAGATCGGCAGAGTATGCCTTAAGATTCATTCCCTTTGGTTTCTCTGTCAGTTTATTCTCTTCCAAAAGAGCGCTGGAAACTTTGAAGCTTGTTATTGAATCATCTTTTAAGAATGCCAAAAGATGTTTAAAGTTGAACGAAGATGGCTCAGAAGAAGAGGTGAGATTGTTGGATCAAGAGGTCAAGATGCAACAGCTAAACATTGGAGAGATTATGAGAAATGATTCCTCTAACACCAAAACCAGTTCTTTCCCATTGAGAAATCAGAACTTTGCTACGCCTGACTTTTCCAAAGTTGAAACATCGATGGTTCTTGTTGCCAATCCAAAGAAGTCTATATTTGGTAAAGCACCAAAGGATGATTTGAATGAGAGTGGCATTGTGGAAATCACTACTAGGGTTCCAAAGGATGGTTTATCCTATGTCTCACCTCCTTTAATTCGTAAAGTGAACAAAGTTTCCACTTTGAACGACATTGGTATGCAAAACATTGATTCTTTGACCAATACACTTTCCATGAATGAAAAGAAAGTGTTGACCAACTTGGAATTCGAATTGAAATTCAAACCAAGTGATTTTACCTTGAAGTCCGGCTTTGTTCCTGAGATTTCACAAATCACTTCAAGCTTACTCGTTGTGAACATATATTCTAAGAGCGCTATACCTATCAAACTTTCGAGTGATATCATCGTGTTGCACCACGGCGACGAAGTCACGGCATTGGACAAGATGAAGAAGGATTTCCAATGCTATAACCAACAGTTCGAACAATTGAAGACGGAATTCGAGTCAAAGGGACTTGACATCAACAAGTATGTTGACCATTCTACGCAGGCCGATATTCGAGCCATGAAAGATTTAAGATCTGATATGTTTACAGTGAACGCCTTGAAGAACAAGTTAGATCCTTCGAGCTCTACAAAGTGGGTGAAGAACTCAGACGGGACAATGGGCAGAAAAGTGAAGTTGATGTTGGAGTATCACGACTTGATTACAGAGACGCTAATTCCAAATTTCCAGACATGTCTCCTATCAAGAATCTATTGTATTCAAGTGACGTTCAAGTTCAAAAACTGTTCTCAAGTCGGACAAGTGAGGGTCCCAATTCGTCTCAGATGGTTCGACAACGAATGATACACGAGCACACATATATATCACACATATTACAAATATTCAGTCTGCTTTCCTATGCCTTGTAATCACCCACAATTCCTTTAGAGAGATGATCAATTTTGAAGACATGAGGAATTTGGTCTCATGGCTCCCCATCGGGCCGAGTGTGTCAAATTCAAACCTCCGCGCACTAAAACCACCATCGGCGGGACGGGCAAAATTTTCCCTTAAACTCCGCAATATTTTGTAAGTGTCTCTGGTGTTTTCTCCTTTGCTGGCAATATTTGTTTTTTTGCGCTCTTTGGGTACCATAAATCCGCGATTTTTCCCGTTGTGCATCAAATTTGATCTCTGGCTCTCATTTTCGCCTCTGTGGCACTTTGACACCATTTCACTTTCACCCTTCGTCCTTTGCTTCCTTGTGATTGGCTTCTGTCATTTTTAATCTTATTGGAGGCCTCTATTGATATTCTCTTTTCTCTGGGTGGTCACTATTATTTACCTCTTTTGGCTTGTGTGTGTGCTGTCATTTGGCGTCTTTATTTGAATATCTAAAGAACTGATCAGCTCTCCGTCTCTCTTAATCCGGACCAGTTGATTTTCGTTGATTTTGAAGTATTCTGAAAAAGATCAACCTGTGATTGCTAAGAAATCAAAAGCGGTGCTATATTTCTTCCGAGTACTTTGAGCATACTTTTGGACCAGAGCTGAAGTGTTGTGTGTGGTTTTCACCATTTGGGAGATTGATCTTTATCCTCTGAGTGTGTTTTGATATATTCAACTTATTTGTGTGCGCGTGTGTGTTTATTATCTTTGATTTTTTTTTTCTTTCTTCGTTTTGTGAGTTTTGAGGAGAGGGGTGTTTGTTGATTCTGTGATCTCTGTAACAACATGAACAGTGAGAAGGAGAAAAGAAGAGCTGTGGCATGTAAGTCGTGCCATTCCCTCAAGGTCAAATGTAAAGCCAGTGATCCTCTGGATCCAACTTCTGCTTGTTTACGTTGTCTGAAGAGTGGACGAAACTGCGAGTTTGAACCTCCGGTGACGAAGAGAAGGAAAAGACCTGAAGACCGTGTTGTTGAGCTGGAGATGAAGTTGGAGAAGCTAACATCACAACTGCAACAAAGCTCATCAAATGAAAACTCGCCTTTCCCAACTGGGACCGCTGCAACCAATACAACTGCAACAGGGGCCTCATCGATTCCACAGGGAGCGTCTGTGGGATCCGCGGAACAGCAGCAACAAGGGCCTCAACAACAGCAGCAACAACAACAACAACAGCAATCACACTCGCAACAAATTCCTGGAGGAATCAAATTGACAAGTACAGAACAGCTGGATCAACTCTTTGGTCCTAATGTTCTACACGATATATCAAACGCCATGACGTTAACCAACGAAATGAGGCTAAAGAGTATGAGAGTCACAAACGTTGATTTGATAGCAGATGGGATCATCTCTTTACAAGAGGCACAACTGAGGTATCAGTTATATACAACTGTGTTGTACAACAAGGTTTCGTTTATCAAAATCACATCGGAGTTTGAACAGTTGAGGTTAAAGTATCCAACTTTGTTTCTAACCATCATGGCTGTAACAAGTATACTCCGTGAGGATGGTCCACCAGTGGAGGTGAATATTAAAATTGAAAACTTGGCACAACAGCAGATTTTGGATCAGGTGTTAATCGTTGGTAATAAGACAATGGAGCTGTTTCAAAGCTTGTTGATTTGGACACTATGGTATAACACTCCAGAAATGTTCCATCATAGAAGATATCATATCTTTAGCAGTCTCTGTGTTGGCTTGGCCTTCGACTTGGGTCTGACCGGAAGACCTTATTACGTTGTGGATAGGAATGAAGGTTCATTTCAACGTCGGAATATGCTTGATGAACCGCAGAAGGAAGAGTATAGGATCCTTGTTTTGGCTGTTTACTGTTTGTCAACTTCGTTCTCCTTGTTCTTGAGGAGACGTCTCATAGTGTCCTGGTCTTCTTACCTCGATGAGTGTGTTCAAGTATTGAGGTCATCGCAAGATCCAAGACATCGCGCTATTGGTGTCTTTTCCCAATTGACTTCGATGATGGAGAAAATTGATAACCTTATAGAACCAACAGCACAGGTCAACTACCCCTTGGTAAAGCATATGGTCAATGAGATAACCGAATTAAGATATATCGAAACAAGTATGGATTACAAAGTGATGCAGGCGTTTGCATCCTCCATTGAGGCTTTCCTCTATTCGAAATTTGCCACTGCTGAGATGTCGTTCAAGTGCCTTGGAAGTTGTGCAGAATGTTTGCAAAGCTTTAGCGACTTATCAACTGAGTTAATGGCAAGTATACCTCTGATGATCTGTGGAAGGTTGATGTACTGTTTTGCATTGTATCTGAAAACAGTGAACTTTCTCAAAACTGATATAGACCTTCTGTTGGTGAAACGGTTGTTCGACAAGTTGCAAACCTGCTCTACGCGCTATCCAAATGTCCATGTGATTATCAAGGTGAGACTGCTATTGCATTTCTACCTCACGACCTTTGTTAAAAATGGTGATATTTTTAACTATATTAACGAAGATAACGGACCAATGCCAGCTAAAAACATGGGACCGCCACCATCGCAGTCTCAGCCTCAACATCAATCGCAGTCTCACTCACAGCCCCAATCACAGCCTCAGTTATTTACTGGGAACAGCTCAGGGAATGGCGGTGTAACCCAACAGCAACCCACAAGAGGTTCACCGGTGACTTCTGGAAATATCAACCCGACTATTCAAGGTCCACCGCAAGTGTTGAATAGTGTTCAACAACCAGTAATGCCTTATGGTCAAATGAACAACTCAGGTCAGGTTCATTCAAATGTGCAATCTCCTCAGCAGCAACAAATTCCCCAGCAGCAACAAGTCCCCCAGCAGCAACATCAGCATGAAACTCAAGCACCTTTTGATTTTAATGGTATCCCACCACAATCTGTGGGGACCCCATACAAATTAGATATGCTAAGTGACGCAACAATGAAGGGATTCGAAGCTGTAAACGAGCAAATCCCAACTGATGATTTCTGGAAGATCTTTGACTACAAGATGGATGATCAATTCTACCTGTGACACTAATTCTACTATGACGTTATGTACTATATGTATTTTTATTTTTTGTACTTTCCCATTTGTTCTTAGAATGATAATTGAAATTTGAATAGACGCTAGAGAACTACCGTGTAAAGATCTAACAACCCTTGTGACTTATAGACTGATGATCTAGCTTGTTTCATCCTTGCGTGCACGTTTAGTTACAGTGGGTAATAGGACACTCAACAAGCGAGCCTCATAATGGAAAACCTGCTTGAGGTTCTGCAAATCTTGAATTTGTCAGTTGACCTGAGTCTCTTTTCCGCCAAATTATGATTACTAACGTTTGTTCGGAAGCCTATATTACCCTTTGTACATATCAGTGGTTCTCAAATAGCCCAAACAACATGTGCTGTGATTATTATTAGCTAGAGCACAACACCAAGTGCGTTACATTCTCTGGACGTTTTTGGTGTGTGAGCAATCCAGAAGGCAGCTATGCAGTCCCATGTGATGCTCTGTACCTCTTTCAATAATGCCCACCAATGGACTATGTAGCTTGTCATATATTTAATTGGGTTTGAACTTTAACCATCAATGTCCTGGTCTTTGTATTACAAAGCAATCCTTTCCTGGACTAGCAATGTCCCTGAAAAGGTTCTCGAGCTGTTGTGTTGATCGTCATAGCTGCTAAGAGCAATCAGCGTGACACCAAATGATATTCTATATTTGTCATAACGTCTATAAGTCGTGCCGAGCAAGTGACCCCTTAACGTAAATCGTGTTGACATACATATAGCTCCAAGCAAGTTATTACCTTTCAAAGACGTTCTATACTGGCCAAGCAACGCTCATTAACGTCATAGTTTTCGTCGCTACGTACTTTGGCGGTAATGTCAAATTGGAAACGAGAACAGTTGATACAGTCGTTTTACTACGGTTTCAAGTAGCTGTACAAACAGTGTCGAACTCGAGAGGCCAATTGAGTAGGTAAGCAATGTTTTCGAGAATGCATCGGGTGATGATTTCCAGGTTTATGATCAAACAATTTTACTAATGCTCGGTTACTGCCTTTATCTTACAATGAAAGCTAATTTTAGAAGGCAAGCCTACAAATTTATAACGTCTTATGCGTCACTAAAGTATCAGCATCTAGCAAACTTTCACCTATTTTACTAGGTCGTAAACCTGTACCCTACTTATTGTTGGTGATGCTAAACAGCGAGTTGCGTAAACCTATATGTACTTCTTTACATGAAAGTTCTGACACGGTATATTTACTTGATGAAGGTTTATATTCCTTGTTGAAAGCAAATGTTATCTTGTGGTGATTCAAGATCATGTCTTCTCCTTTTTACCTCTTTCATATTTATGGTAGAGCATTTATCAGAGAAGCAATTCCAGAACTTGTGCAACCGTGATGACCAGTTTGATATTATGGAAGTAGCAACAATCACGTAACCGACCGAACATTCAGCGTTATACGTCCAAAGCTGCAGTTAGTGGGCAAACATAACCCTTCGAGACAATAGAATTCTCGAGTGACTGGATGTCATTAACGGTCTAAATCTGTTGTGATATTCACCCATCCTCGAAAGCGCAAGTAAGGGTCGCTATATGAACTGTAACAGAACAACAGATTACCTGGTATATTCCACCTGGCTACTAGTTGGCACACGTTATGAAGTTGTCTATGCTTCGAAATAAGAGGGAACTACTGACAGTCAGCTTTGAATCATAATTTATGAACTCGGCTCGCAGTCTTCCCCTCGAAGACTGTTTCAGTTATACCTACAACGAATCAGTTACTAAATAGCAACTTTGTCACTGATAGTCTGAATGTTCAGAAAGCAGCTTGACCTGAAAACATATTGTATGCACAACATAGTCCCGTTAACAACTGTCTGTGATCTGAATTATTTCATTTTTAGACGTGCGAGTATGCATGTCTGTACCTCACAGTAGAATTCTGTCTCATTATTATGAAAGCCCTTCTGCTTATAAGGATTTGCTAAAAGATACATGATTTTATGTGCAGTGTCTATTTTTGAATATGTGTCAATGACTCAACATAAGTCATTCATAGCTCTCTGAGTTTTGGTTGCTCGCATACGAGAGACTCTTCTATGATTAAATCAATACCACTTCCTCATACGATACTATAGTTAACCCTCGTTCGGTCCGAACTAACTATGTGTTGAAGTGCTCAGGAGTGTAAGTTCCAACTCAGTAATATCAATTTAGACATTGGGCATTAGAGTGGCTGATTTTTCTGTACGTCTTGCAATTGTTCGAGTCATGGATAGTGATCAACATCTAAGTCACTAGAAAACAAACAACGGTGACTATTCTACAACAGTTGAATAAACACCATTTCACTACACAGCAGCGTAATTTTGGTTTTCTCAGATTGTGAACATCCCCACGCTGCACATGTGCTTCATCAATACCTGAACAGGGCTACACATATCCAAAAACACGTGAAGTTGTATAATTGTTAAAGAATACAACCTTCATCTCCATCCGTTTCTTCAAACAGCTAAAAATGTACCCTTGGAAGACTTCATAACAAATCAACATCACCGCATATTATCTCTAATATGCACTTCATGAGGATTTTTACTGTCAAGTTTCAAAATCATGAACAATTACTGATACTGCATACGTTGCACATTTCACATGCACAACACTGTTGTATATATCCCTAGGGGATTGCCACGATCTTGAAATCATGAATCACAAAGGTCAGCCAGCTCCAGTACAACCAGCTCTTGATTGGATCAATCGACATATATAGAGCCGGCTGAGCATATCGCAAATGGCCTGTGGGCCTCCTGGGTTAATGCGCGCATTACTCTGTATCTTTTGAGCCGGTCTATAGTTGAGCAAGGTGTTGTACACTGTGCAGCTTAAATTTTAGTGTATCTTGTGAAATGTCGTCCCTAAAAGTTCTACCGATGCCAGTGCACTCCTATGGGAATCAATCCGTATGTTGGAAATCTGTAGATTCCGCTTGTTATCACATGGGCAATGTGCTCTCTTGCCAAGACCCTTATCACGCTGTACAACTTTGGTCACAGGCCGGTGTTAAAAATTTTTAACCCATTACTCGGGTTGAACTTCTTTAACAAGAGCTTAGGGATCTACCGCCGAAATTGGAATTTGGGTTGTTTACTTCTTTTTTTACGAACACATCTCGGGACGCCGGGGTTACCCGCGGCTCAATTCAGATTCAACAAGTGGAATTTAGCTCCAATCTTGAAATTTAGGGTTTGCGGACCATGTTGTGAAGTACAGAACACAGGGGTGGACTGCGGTAACAGTACATGTGCTCAACTTTCTGTAGCCACTTTCAATATTCTGCCTTTCAATAAACCTGGCGAGGCGGTGATGGAAACCTGTTCATTTCTGTTGCCACTCCACTGTCTGAAAATCATTTGGTGGGTGATACATGTATACATACATATCGTATTTTAATTGGTACATACATTTAGGTTGGCACAACTTGTCCCAGGCTTCGCCCTAGGGGATGCAATAGCAATTTCAACTTGTAACGTTGCAACCTCATGATTCAAGCCTCTCCTAAAGTTGTTGAAACCGGGCTTTATTCACGGATTCAAACCCCCATACAGTGGTTGTGTTTTACAGACGCTACTAGAATCCGCAATCAGCTTGCAAATGGTCCCCCATCACCTATGTATTGCCTAACGTACTTGTGTGCTAGATGACGTCGTAATTACTCAGTACTATGTACTGTGTGTAGTAGATCTTAGGAATGTCTTGAACACAACTTCGTGCGGATACCAATTTCAGGCACGTACATACGCATGCATCCATTTCTTCGACAAAGCACACTGTGTAAACTTTTGCCGCCTGTTACAAAATAGGAAGATGTATCAGTACCGGCTGGTTTTAAGATTCCAAGTCCTATGTACTTTCACTGCTGAGTGCGGTCAAGAATTGAATCACAGCTTTACATCATAGTGAGAGCTGGTGTTTAGCATCATGGGGCGAAAGGGAGACAGCGGGGATTCGGACGGTGGAAGTGGTTGTGATTCCTTCAACATATCTGAGTCTTGGACGAGTAAACGATTGTACATCCGCGGTTAAATGAACTGTTTGTTAAGTCTTGATTCCGAGGCAAGCACATGCATCGACCGACAAATATTGCCATAAGTAGTGAGTTGTATTAAAGTTCTATAAACAGGATATCTCAGGCTGGTATGTATAAACTTGCCAGTCATTAGTACTGCCTTTTTAGATTCGGGAGTGATCGCAGGCATTTTCTTCATTATACAACTTGCGAATCTGTAAGGGTGAAGCTTCTCAGTTTTACTGCCGGCAGCGCTATAACATTGGATGGCGTTGAATTGGTAATACCAGTACAGATACACCTATGTAGCAACCAAATAACTAGCGTGATACATATACATATAGCACCCAAAACGCAAGCATGTGTTCTCTCACTGAATCACTGGTGAGGGGCTTCAACCCATTCTCGACTATTTTAACCCCATATTACACACCCACCGGGTAGTTCTCGTAAGCCCTGAAAGTCCGAGTGAGGCAACGCCCTTAAGGTATCTGCGGAACTGCAACCAAATTTAATAGCTGAATGTAGCATGGGAAGTGGTCTAGGCAGGTAAGAGACAAGAGATGCTGCTACACATTGTCGACCGTGGTACTAATATACACTTACATGCTACTAATGGAAGAAAATATACACAAGTCACATATTGTGCTCATTGCAAGCTGCGTGGCTTTGCGTCGCCACCTCAGAGGCAGAACGTAGTGTTTGGGTCCGTGGGCACGCCATTAGATCGTGCGCCGGTTGTTTAAAATAAGTTTCGTACCTCTGAAGTTAATTGTTACAAGTTGCAACCTCATAACACCGTGTCCTGAGCTCTGGTAGTTCTTGTAACTGCTTCCTGGTGTAATTTAGCAGCAGCAGCAGCACACACACGACGTGTGCTGAAATTAGTGAGCCATCCCTGTCCCTACGGAAACGCCTCTATGCGGTAATACGTACGTCAACCAAATTTTTCATGTGTAGCGATCAGTCCCAAAAATCCCCAAAAATGCGGTTAATCCAAGGCTCCCTTTTTAGTGTTTGATGTATGTGAGGTCACCGTGCATTCAACGTCATAGAACAGAAAAGGAAGACCAGGAAGATCACCACCATAAGGAAGACATTAAGACAAAAGAAAAAAAATTCAATGCACGCTAATTTTAACGTGCCGTTCATATAATTATCTCCATATTCGCATTCTTTCTAATCTTTTGGAATATCTTGTTTCTCATCCTGCTGGCTTCAACACACCATTTTGCTATACTAAGAGCTGACGTTATTACCACCTGCCATAGTGAAGATAGACGTCTTACTGGTTTTCCTCTACTACCGGAAGAGTACCACACTTACGCCAGCTTGAGATTAAGGGACAAGGGAATAAAGTGCTTATTGTCCGAAGGCTGCTTGGGTCTATAGTTAAGTCTCTACTTGGTTCGTTTCGTTCTTGTTGTTATTACTGTTCTCTTACATTTCTCTTACATTTCTCTCCACCGGTTGCCCACGAATAGCATACGATGAGTTCCAACGGCACTACAAAGGTCAAATTGCCATCCTTTAGAGAGCTGGATGTCGGTTTACCAGATCCTTTGGCATCCCATTCTCCAAATGTCGGAAACAATGTTCAAAATGTCCCACGACAACAACCTGAGCACTCACATGTTCAAGTTGCCTCCCATAGTCTACCGGTGCTTCCAATAAGCGGTAGAGGTGCGCACACACCTCATGAGGCGCCAGTACATTTGATACCACCACCCATGGCGTTGCTACAGCAAGTTCAACTCCCACAACAGCCAACTCCACAGCACACGCCGCGCCAACAATCACTGCCACAGCTAGGAAGCACAGTGCAGCTACCTTCTATGGGCTTAAACATGGCACTTCCTGGACCACCCCAACAGCAGCAGCATATGATGGCAGTACAGATGCCACTTCAACCACAGCCTCAACCTCAACCTCTGCATATGAATGTTGTTCAGATTCCTCACATTCAACAGGTTTCTCCGCCACAACACGTTCCGCAACCTAATATCACTGTTTTGCAACATCATCAACTAGCGCATCAACCGCTCCAGGTGTTACATGCTCATACTTTAGACCATTTGGTCCCAAAAAGGAAAAGACCTCGTCGTAAAGCTCAAGAGATGGTTCGTCTCTACGCTTGCAACTATGGTACATGTAAAAACTCCTATGGGACTCTAAACCATCTCAACGCACATATCACATTCAAGAAGCATGGTCCGAAGAGAAAGCCGGAGGAGTTCAAACAGATTAGAGAACTTTACAAGCTACAAAAGACATCTAATTCCATGGACAAGTCTAAAGTATTGGATACTTTAGGTCTTGGAGATAAGACAGAGCTCCCAGTGTTCCATCAACAAAGAGGATACAACGGGTATGGTCGACACGACCATACTTTGAACAAGAATGAGTTAGAAAAGCTAAGTACTAACTGATTCTGTTCGACGAGATCCCATTCATGACTCTGCTGTCAATGGCATTCATGCTCCATATCATTGAAATCTGTCTTCTCCCCCCTACCATTGTTATGCACCTCAATACGGGGGACCAGCTTTCAATGCTTGTGAAGCTAAGGCATTTAATAGTGTCTCAAACTATCTTTTCTGGAGGGTGTCACTTGTTCTCTGACAAATTATACAATACATTCCACTCACAACATCACTCATGTGTGATGATCGTTCATCAGTACTCTTAACCAGTTTGTGTTTTTATATAATACTTGACGTTGTAAGAAATTGAAAAGGTTGTTCAATACACGAATAGTTCATAATTTTACATCTTGTACAACATGGTGATTGTTTCCAAAATAACTTTTATAATTAGAGTAGACATTGTTGAGTTTTAGTATTTACAACCACAATGCAATATGATGAAGAGAGAACTGGATGCCAAGGAAGGGTGGTCGAAACAAGTCCATAAGAAATACATAGCAAGCATCATGATATAAAACAAGGTGGTGAGTCATATGCTTATTTCTTAGCAGCGGCTCTGTTGTGCTGCATATGACTCTGTACCAAATGACCAGCAGCAAGTGCGCTAACTAGCGATAATTCACCAGAAAGAACAATAGATGCAACGATTTTAGCCAGTTGACGGGCATTTTCTCCAGGAACATCAGCTGGTCCACGTACTCCGAGAAGTTCAAGCATGGATCCCTGTGGGTCCAAGATGGTACCACCACCAATGGTTCCGACTTCAATAGATGGCATGGAAACAGAAACTTTCAAGTCTCCGTCCTCCGTCTCAGTCATTAGTGTAATACAGTTGGAAGATTCAACGTTTTGGGCTGGATCTTGACCCAAAGCCAAGTAAACTGCGGTAACCATATTAGCAGCTTGGGCATTGAAACCACCAACACTACCAGCCATAGCTGATCCGATCAAGTTCTTGTTGACATTAACATCAACAACAGCTTTAACAGAACTCTTCAAAACTTTAACCACAGCATCCTTTGGTATGATAGCCTCGGCAACAACACTTTTACCACGACCATTGATCCAGTTAACAGCAGCTGGTTTTTTATCGGTACAGTAGTTACCAGAAACAGAAACAACCATCATATCGTCCCATCCAAACACCTCCGTCATTTGTTTAAGAGCATATTCAACACCTTTGGAAATCATATTCATACCCATAGCATCACCAGTGACGGTTCTGAAACGAATGAACAACAAGTCACCCGCAAGAGCAGTTTGCAAATGTTGGAGTCTGGCAAATCTGGAAGTAGAGTTGAACGCTTTCTTCATTTCTTCTTGGCCCTCATCGGAGTCCAACCATAGCTTACATTGGCCTGCTCGTTTCAAACTTGGGAATTTAACACATGGTCCACGCGTCATACCATCTTTGGTCAAAACCGTTGTAACACCGCCACCAAGATTAATTGCTTTACAACCACGCATAGCAGAAGCAACAAGACAGCCCTCTGTGGTTGCCATTGGGATATGGTACGGTTTGCCATCAATAATCAATGGACCAGCGACACCGACTGGTAATGGCATGTAACCGATAACATTTTCACAACATGCACCAAATACACGATCATAATCATAGTGCAAGTATGGTAATTTATTGCTTCTCAAGACTGGAGCATCTGCAAGATCAGAGATGGCTTTCCGACGAATAGCAACGGCTCTCAAGTTATCACCCAATTGTTTCTCTAGAGCATACAGTGGTAACTTACCAGCAGTAACAAGGGATACAACTTCATCGTCAACAAGGGTCTTAACTTTACCATCCTTGTATAACTCAATAACTTGTTCAAGTGGACGTGAAGATTGCTCAGATTCACTCTCAGAAGATGAGTGCAAGATTTCCGAGGATTTTGTAGTTTCTGAATCTTTAACCACAACAGCTTTAGGAACACTGACAGCTGTCTTCGAAGCCTTCTTCTTTGGCTTTTTCAATTCAATTGCATCCTCCAATCTTGTGGTATGGATACGAGCAACGTTCAATAGGTAGACGTTGATAGATGCAGAAACGGCAAATGCAAAGAGAATGAATTTTGAGATGTATTTATCACGGGCAGCAGTTGAAATAAGACCAATGAATGATAGAACCACGGCTTCAATTTGTGTGGATAATTTTTCAGGGAGGAAAAAACGTGTTGGGAATAAAGTAACCAAAGTACCGTTTGAGCCAATAGGAATTTGATCTGCGACCGCATCGTATAAGGTGAAAGTGTCATTTGTCTCATTACCAGCGCTCAAATCGGATAGCCAAGCAGATCCAAATCCATAAAAGTGCAATCCAAAGAAGACTGAAACACCAGCAACCTTGGCAACTGTAACCAGAGTAGATGGGGCATCTGTGAAAGTCTTGGTTCCAGCGAGACTATTGGATTTGAGAACATCATCAACTGTGGTTTCAGTTAAGCCGTCATCTTCGAGTTGTTCTCTCAGCAACGTTGATCTGTGTATTTGGTTAATTTCCAGCTTGAGTGATAAGATTGCAGATAGGAAGGTAGAGGTGGTGAGTATATCGAATGCTAGGATGAGAGCTGCCAATATACAGAAATTCTTCAGTCCATCCAAGTACGACGCGTAAAAGGAGCATCCCAAGAATGCAGTAATCATAAACAAGTGATCACGCAAGAGCAATGGGCCTTGTTCCCTTAATGCCTGATACAGAACGGTTGGAGCATCGTTCTTCGATGATTGAGCATTGAGTTGATTTTGCAAAACCTTCTCTGCCAACAAAATCTTGTTGTTGAAACCAACCACTGCGACAAAGAACGGAATACCTTCAGATAAAGAGAGGAAGGGAATTGAAAGATCCAACACCCTCGTGGTGATGTACAGTGCAAACAAGAAGGCAAAGAACGAGGACACAAGAGTTGACAATCCTAGCCAAACCTTAGAGCCGACTGCCCTCATTCTGGCAAAGAGGTTAAACAGCGTATAGAACATGGCAATGTACGCACAAGTCACCAGGGCAATGTCAAAGGTTTCGGCCCCTCTGACCAAGTTCAACACCTTATTGAAAGCACCAACAACCATGTCAGAGTACTTACCCAATTTACCGTGATAAGCTCTTGAACGCCACACTGTGCCGTCCTCAGCGGTCAACTGTTGCCATTGCTCAGCGGCATCAGACTGAGAAACAACAAACTTCACCTCATCCAACTCAACGATTCCTGATAACACCGGCTCCTTGTACTCGCCAGCTCTGCGGAACTGGAATGGGACAACGTTGTAGTGGTCCACATCCACTGGGACTTTGCTCAAGTCGTCAACTGCAATCCAATGTTGGTTTGCGCTTGCACCGTGGTAGAACATAACCGCTGCCGGTTCATCGTAGGAGAACCCGTTGCTCATATACTGTTGCACCACCGCCAGGTACGCCACGGCGGCAAGCACTGATGACACGATGAGCGTGTGGATCGGATGACGCGCTGAGATCCTCCCAACAAACGCCAACAGCGAGGCCAATGGCTTGAATGGTTGTGCACTGTTCATAGCGGTTCCTTCTTTTTGCCTTATTTTGCGGTATCGTCACTAGTCCACTCTCTCAACAAAGCGTGTACTGGTAAAGTGGGTTGCTGCACTGCGTATGAATATATACTCGTTTGTGATTGGGCCGCGTGGATAAACACCAAATTCTCCGTTCACTGGGTACGCTGGTGATATTTCTTCCCCTCGAAAAGCTCAACAAAATAATGAAAGACAGACAGTTCGACCGTGGAATGGGAAACTGGCACGGAAATTTGTTCGAGTTTCTTTATCACACAGGTTCCACAGGACACACGATGTATTTCTCAGAGGAAAAAACGCTCTTGGAATGTCCGGTTAATTGAACAATGTGCTGTTATTGCAATTGATCTGATGATGAAAACTTCTCTCGAGAGCGCAGCAGTTGATGACAATTTTTGTGTATAGTGGCCTTTTTTTCGCTACTTTTTCGCTGTGTTTCGTACAGCTCTGCGCGGTGGTGGTCGTTTCGCGTTCAACGTTTCGGCGTGATGGCTTTTTTTGCTTTTGGCGTTTTTCTCTAAACGAAACTCTACTGCCTGACAGCGAAAATATCCCGAATGGGATAATTGGCGTAAAGCGTGGCGAAAGTGGATAAAGTCCAACACATGTGGGTATGTTTGCTGTTGTCACCTCTGCTCCTCTGACTGCTGTTCGACTGACTGCTGCTTGCCTTTCTGAGGTGCTACACTGTCCAATTGAACAACTGATTTCGATGGTGAAGAAGGAAAAAAAATCAATCCGGTATTATTAGTATTCGTATTTTGCTATCTTTTAGTATATACTCAGAATGTTTCAACACAACACAGCTCATTTGAGAGAGACGAGCTTGACGTCAAAGGTCAGCTCGGAGTTGGCTGGGATACCTGGAAGCTTCTTCTTACCGTAGGCGTATGGTGCTGGGATGACGATACGACGCTCGCCACCCACAGCCATACCAGCAACACCAATGTCCCAGCCCTTGATGACTTCGCCCTTGCCTAGGCCGAATTGGAATGGCTTTCCAGATGTGTTCTTGTCAAAGACGCTGCCGTTCTTCAACTTACCAATGTATCTGACACCAACCTTAGAACCGTTCTTGGCAACTGGGCCGGTACCAACGGTTCTGTCCTCAATAACAACACCACCAGCAAGGGTCTTGACAGCTGGCTTCTTCTTCTCGGATGGGGTTGGGCCTTGCTCAAGCTCCTTGTTGAATTGAACAGCCTTCTCCTTCTTTGACTTCTTGGTCTCTGGTTCTGGCTGGGTCTCCTCAGCTTGACGCTTCTTAGATTCCTTCTTGGATTTCTTCTTGTCCTTCTTAGATTCTTGTGCCTCAGCTTCCTCTCTAGCTTCCTCCTCATCGACGAGCTCTTGGATCTTGGCCTCAACGTCCTCTTCGTTCTCCAAGTCGTTAACGTCGAAGTCCTCTTCAGCGAGCTCATCTTCGTCTGGGGTCAAGTCGTACTCGTCAGAGTCGAATTCCTCATCATCCTCGTCTTCGTCAGAATCAAAGTCGTCAGAGTCCTCACCATCGTATGGGTGCTCGACGTAGTTACCACTTAAATGGATTGGATAAGAACCAGTAACGACGAAGAAGATTTCCTCATCAGGGGAGATGGTGAAGTCCAATGTCTGTTGGAATTGAGACTTTGGTGACAAAGTACACACAACAAACTCCTCAACATCATCGTCATCGAGATCATCTTCGTCCTCATCATCTTCGTCGTCCTCATCGTCATCCTCCTTGTCATCCTCATCGTCTTCTGCTTCAACATCCTCATCGTCATCTTCAGCCTCAACGTCAGCGATGTCCAACTCATCTTCATCCTCATCTTCATCGTCCTCATCGTCTTCATCGTCTTCATCTTCATCGAGCAGCTTACTCAGCGGAGTAGCCTTCAAGATTCTCAACGTAGATGGTTGCTCCTCATCGTCAATCGCATTTGGATCCAGGGCAGCCAAAGTCAAGTGAACAGTAACCGGCAAATCGGAGTCAATCGCTTGGGTTGGAACAAATGGCTCGAGGGCCAAGTTGAAAGAAGCAAGTGGCAAAAGGGAAGACATTTCAATCTATGATTAAAGAGGGTGGATTTCCTTGAAACCTGTGGTGATGAGGGAGGTTTGGAAGAGAGCCTACCGCAATTTTTCTTTTATGGCCCAGGAAAAATTTTTGTATGGCAAAAACGTTTCTTTTGAATTTTCCCAATTCGGCAAGGAGATGAGCTCTGGATCACGTTGCCACGGGAACAACGATTCTTCGAGAACCTTCTCATCCCAAAAGCCAAATATGGAGAGAAACTCGAGCTAAACAACTATCGAACGCTATGTGCTCGGAGAATGTGGCTCTATAAGATCGCTTGTGGTGCCAATTCATGAATTGGACCTCCTAGTGACAACGCTCCAAAGCTGAAGGTTATGACATGTGTCCCGAGCCCTAATTATGTAGCATATTGATAGAGGATGGCATATTATTACCCGACAGCTTGTGTTGTTATGTCCAATTCATTAACATAATCAAACTACAAGTACCAGAACCTACATTCTCATTTTCTTAACTTTTCATCCGTATAACAAACGAATAATTCCATATTGATTCATTACTCGACAGATTATACAAGTGTGTACAGTGGTGTGTTGAAATCCCTAGCATTTCTTAGACTTAGAACTTCAAGAGGTGTGGTCTGTCACCAGACTTGAGGCTGAAGGTAGCAGCCAAGTATTGTTGGAGTAGTGGAGTCTTCTTGATTTGTGTGAGCAAAGCAGCGTCAATGGTCTTTTGGTCAGCAATACGCTCAGCCTTGATCTCCTTCTTTGGAGCACCCTCACCGAAGAACTCAGCCTCAGACTTGGACTTCTTGGAAGACTTCTCACGGGCAAAGTAAGCAACGTCAAACTTGGAAACATCAACGGAAGAAACGTCAATCTTTGTGGAAGTGGCGATAACGTATCTGGCGTTAACACGTCTCAATGGGACACCGTTGACCTTGAATGGACCAGAGACCAACAAGGTGTTGTCCTCCAAGTGCTTCAAGTAAACAACTCTCTTACCACGGAAACGACCGGCCAACAAGATCAAGACGGAACCTGGAACCAAGGAAGCTCTGAGCTTTTGTGGTTGAGCAGACTTTCTGGTCTTCTTTGGGACAGCGTTGTCCTCAGCTGGGTACCACTTTGGGGCCTTGAAGATAAAAAGTTAGTATATATGTCTAAGCGCCGCTGTTCGTTAGGAATTCACTAAAAGAGAATAACATCAGCCCCTGGAAATATAGTTCACGTTGGACTCTTTCACTGGATAGGAGGCTTCTTCTGGCCTTTCAACTTCGGTTCTGATTGTAACATCCATCTCTGTGCCATCACCTCTATAGTTACTTGAGGCCTCCAACTTTTCACTCTCCTTTCAGAGTCCCTCTCTGGTCGTAATCTGACGGTAAATACATGGTTCGAATCATATTCTCTTCAAGATCTCATTCCTAACGTTATTCGTGTCGACTCACCAATTGAGCAGTCATTTTTGATACGATGTTCTTAACCTTCAATGCTTCACCCTAGCATGGGCTCCGGTTGAACAGAATGTGAAGATAATTGGACAACCCGCGACCTGTGAGTCCTTGGTGTCTGGGTGGCATCATTCTGAAATTTACCCCGAGCAACGCCCAAACAGGAGTAATTTCAAGCGTAATTTTCAGACCGCTATTATCGATAATCCTTCAAATCCGCGAAGTCTGAATGCCACACGCAGTCACAACTTCTATTGGTGTTCGGATGTTCTTGCTGCTGAACTACGAAATCCCAAGGATAACAATGAACAATGGGGCTACACTATCAACACATTTGAACATTTGATAAATTCGTATAGATATACACAGTAATTGCAATCAAGAGAAACAAACATAATATATAATCCGTTTTAAAGTCACACAATCACCAATCCGCTGGTGGAGCTGGGTCTGTAGGCTCATCAGGGTCCGGCGAGTATCTGAAACTGACACTGATTTCACCTTGGCCCAATGACAAAGTAATTTCACGTGGGCTATCGATAACTTCGGAAAGTTTTATCGTAGCAGTTCCTAGTTCGGTGTCCTTTGAAAATGTGTGATGAACAACACCTCCAAATACAACCTCAGCTTCCTTTGGAGCATCAAAGGAAACCTCATCATCCCATCTAATGACTCCACTAGTAGCCTTGGTCTTCTTTGTCTTGTAGATAGTTTTTAACGTACCGTTGATTGCAAGAGACACCTTCAACTGAGCCTCCTTTCCGAGGTTCTTACCATTATGAATTATCAAAGTACCTTCGGTAGATTTCTTACCCTTGGCTGCTTGTGTAAACGTTGTTGTTTGAGAGGCTGTTCTCTGGTGTTGTTGCTCCATAGCAGACGCAATTGCACTGTGTGAACCGTGTCCCGTAGCCCTGGAATTCACTGATTTGGCATCCCCGTTCAACGATGATGATTCGTCCATAGACGGTCTGCCCTTGTGGCTTTTCTTTCCACCAAGAACACTTTTGATCAATGAAGAGCCACCCTTTGTGATATTACCAACACCTTCAGAGACAAGATCTGCACTGGCACCAACCCCTCCAGTGACTGCTCCTGCTCCTGCTCCGACAACACCTGCACCTGCACCAACAGCACCAGTAGCAAGATTAGCGGCAGCACCGACACCCTTGAGTGGTGCACCGGCCAAGTAGGACATGTTCAGACCAAACTCCTTTGCTCCAACCTTTGGGCGAATGTACTCTGGTGAGAATGTAACCTTGGCACGAACAGTACCTTGAGGATGGAGTTTGAAGGTGACAGTCTCAGAAGTAAGCGGTTGAACACCAGAAATATCGAGTTTTGTCTCACCAATCAACTCATTTTTACCAGCCCTATCCCAGTCCATGACCTTAAGCTGCATTTGAGTTCTTGATCTACTCATGAATGGTAAAGTAGTACCTTCATTCCAGGTAGGATTGAGGGTTTTCTTCACAACCTTAGATTTGAACAATTCGATATCACCAAGCATGACAGAAACAAACGGATCAGATTTGCCATTTCTATCAGCACTCTTCAAACCTTGAGCGTCTAAGAACTCAATCTTCGCTTTACCGGTATCGAGAATAGTCTCAGAAGGTGGTAACTTTATAGCAGATGGTAGATATTCAAATTGGATAGTCACACTGGCACCCTCAAAAGAAATTGTACGTGGAGCATCGAATCCATTTTTCAGCAGGTCAATAGTCTTCAGGGTAGTTTGGGCCAAAATGTCTTCTTCATCCTTTACAACACGACCCTTGGAGTTTCTTATCGTAAAAGTAGAGTTTGGTAAATCACGAATAAAAGCTTCTCCAAACTGGTTGTCCAGCTTGGTACCAGCACTCTTGGTAGAAACAAAGGATGGCGACGATTGGTCATCCACAAGAACCTGCAAAAATGATCCATTCTTCTTGAGCTTACCACCGACAGTATGAATGATCAGAGAGCCGGATCTGTATGTCAAAAGTTGATCAAGCGACATCTTCTCCTTCTTGGACAACATGGCCTGCTCTTTGTCTTCGATTTCAATCCACTCATAATCATTTGGAGACTTCTTGTAAAGTTCTTCCCATCCCTTTGCTTCTTCCTCTCTTTGCTTTTTGGTCAAGGCAAGTGTTTTCTCTTGTTCCTCAAGCTCATTCAATTCAGCCAAGGAATAAACTGGAATTGCAGGTATGAAAGAAACAGAGTAATAGATTGTTCCCTTAGGCTTCTTTTTTTTCAAGCTCAAGGAGGCAGAGAGAATATCCTTGGATCCATCGTGGAACAAAAAGTTACCATTTGAGTCTTTTTTGATGAACTGAGAGATAGGTATGATCGCTGACCCAAGCGAACGATCTTTACTAACCTTTTGGTAGTCCATAACTTCCAGGCTAACGTGTTGACTTGTAGAAGTCAATGGAATGTAAACAAGCTCGTTGAATGTTGGCTCGCACGTATCAGGATGGAATGCAGTCTGATATTTCAATCTGTTACTAAGAAGCACTTTACAATAAGGATCAACATCACCGACAGTTTCCAAGTTTAACAACTGCTCGGCATTTCTAAGGTGCAATCTAAGAGTACCGATTGGAGGAGTGTGAGTAGAGCCTGCGCCACTCAATGAAAGGGGCTTCCACACTGCACTAAGACGAACTTTCGAGCCTTTATCCATTGTGAAGACGTCTTTACCCTCAGCACAATTAAAGGCTAAGTTTTCCAAGCTGTCCTTAAATGAATCAATAACAACACCGTCGCGTGCGCCAGTATCGGTTATTGTCAATGCCACAAGTGATTGAGTCTTTTCTGTAACCAAAACTTCTGTTGTCGCTTCCCACGAAGGTTCATTGGCGTTCTTCAAAGTTCTAAATTCCTTAACCAACTCACCGTTCAAGTGCAATTCTGCCTTTGGATTCAACTTACCTGTTACAGTTCCAGAAGTATTCAATCCCTTAATATCACGAAGCGTAAATTTGAAGATACCAACATCTGAATCAGGAGTCTCGGTTTCTTTGCTCTCTTCTTCCTTTTCAGTGTCATCTTTGGAGGAGAGCGTCGGGAACCAACGAATATCGTAGTTAATCGTTCCTTTCTTTTTGCCAGCCAATTCAATTGGGAATTTCTGGTCTAGAAGATCATCTCTTTGCAAAAGGGTTCCTAGCTCCACTTCATGAGATCCAAAGAGTAACCCTTTCTTCTTCTCCATGGAGAAGTCGTAAACGTCAAAATTTAACTTGTCGCTCAAAGAGTTAACCAGAATGTACTTCGTCTCATTCCAGCAAGCCTTATTGGACTTTGTCTTGATGTCTGTACGAGAATATTTTGTCAAATCTCCGCCTGTAGAAATTTGTACATATGGTGTAATTGATTCATTGAAGTCTGCACCCTTTGTGGTTACAGCGACAACACCAATGGCTTCTGGGACGGCCTGAGCCGTTAATTCTTCAACGTCAACATCCAACTGGTTTGGTGCATATAGCATTGGACCGACGTTACTGTTGATCAAGGTCTTGATCAGAGTCTTCAAACCAGGAACCAATGACATCACATCGAGTCCAAAAGTGTCACCACCAACTGGTTTCAAACTGAAATCAATCTCTGGTGGTTCCAGGATAGAGACAGAGACAAGTCTTATATGAGGGAAGTCTGCAGAAAGCTCCAGGGTGATCTTTGCCCTTCCACTCACTGACATATCTTCAACAAGAATAGGTAACTTCTTAGAGATCATAGCTTTACCCACACGGACACCCAGTGCAACCTTTGGATCAATCTTTCTGTCAATTTCATTCTTTGTCATATCCGAAGTATCATTTGGGGTGAATCTGAAGGCCCAATCCCATTCAACAATGTCTTTTCCCTTCTTTGTGTAGGACTTGATTGAGTCAATTCTTGGGGCCTTTGAACCAAGAGTAAACTCATCCAACGAAAGTGCATCAATACCATAACCAGGTGCCAAATCTTTCAATGTTTCATTGGCAATTGTCATCACTGTCTCTGAAAGAGCAGGCATATAGATGACCCAAAATTTCATCAAAAAGTTGTTCAACCATTCCATAGTTTCAAACTTCTTCTCCAATCTCTCCCTGGCATTGATTCTGAGAATATCATCCCTCACGTTTCGCTCGAAACGGCGGTACTCCGCTCTGTAAACAGAAGAAGCGCACAGCAGTACAAAGATGAATCCAAAGAAGCCAAACCTAACCCTGGCAATGAGCCATGAGAAGAAGCATAAACCAACGACTAACACGACATTCCAGTACCAATCCCCACGGAAGGTCTCTGTGACAAACTGTTTAATCAAGTAAGAATCAGTCACATAAGAGCTGTCGAACTTCTTTCCTTCGTTGAAGGAACCAATGTTTTTCCAAGGGAACCTCTCAAGCACAACTTCTCTTGTCTCGGTAACAGTGGCCTTCTCATCCTTGGTTGCTGTTTGCTTGATTGGCTTCTCCACGCTGGACCGAGTCGCACCATTGGCAACGCTGTTTGTCTTGGAGAGATCAGTCTCTGATCTTTTCACCTCCTCAGCGTTACCAACACCATTGCTCGACACCGCCGCTGGTTTTGTTGTTGTTGTTGTTGTTGTTGTTGTTTTGCTTGCCGGATTACTACCGGCAAGTGCAGAGCCGTTAGACAGCGCTGTGTCCTAGGTGCAACCGTAGCGTTAGTACAAATCCCAGAGGGCAGTGCTGTTCAGACTCACTTGTGCCATCTTGTGCCAGTTTGCCTATACCCTACTGCGAACAATTGCTTGGTGATTGCACGTTTAAGGAGTTAAAAGGGGGTTTGTGTTGCAACCTTAGGCGGAGGAAAAGCCTGGCTCTTGCTAAACTTATATGAAATTCCCACCGCACACCGAGCGGGAAGCCCATACTTGGGCTTGTTTTCCTCCCAAGAAGTTGAGCCTTGCGCGTGCCGGGTGTTGCCCAAACTGAAACTTGAGCCTAGAAAAAAAAAACATACACTGCGTGGCCCAACCCGACAGGAGCGGGCTTTCCAGGCTGTGGGCGATGGAGGGTTACTTTGCTGTTTGTCGTTTAGCTTCTACAGGTTTATACTGCTGAGACGTTTGTTTTGTTCAGTTGAAAGTATTTGCGAGTTGTCTTTGCTTGTGTGATGCTCTTCTCCATACTTTGCGGTCCATTAGGAACGCGGAGTTGTCCTGTGTTCTGGCATTGAGTAATAAAGCTGTGGTCAAATCACTAAAGTTGGAGTCGATTCTACCGAGCGACTGTGCACAGTATATGAGTTGTAGGTATAGCCCGTCACGTATTGAAGTCTCCGACACGAGTGGGAGGGAGCTCTGCAGTGATGTGATGAGCTC